GGTGAGATGGAAATAGAAATGGGAAGGATTATGTTAACAAATGACAATAATGAGAAAGGAAAGAATAGGGTTATGGAATTGGGACTAAAAGGAAGAATAAATATGTTAATCAGGGGAGATCTTAGCTCAAGGCAGATGCGAAATAGAGGGGTGCAATGTCTTTTGAAGAAAAGGTAAGACAGTTGCAAATGGAGTGTGTTAAGCAGAATGGAAGAGCCAAGGGGTGTGTAGACAGAATAGGGAAGATATGGGGTTGTAAGGGTTTGTTCACACCACGTGCGGAGCAGATGCAGAGCAGTTACAGAACGCATAAAAAATGCATCCAATTTATTCCAATGATATTTTGGGCTCTAGTTCACACCACAGCGTTCAGTTCCAGAGCATGTAGAAAAACTGTAGCAAGCACTATTTTTTCTGCTCTGGAACGCACCAAAACGCATGCAAAGGCATCAAAAATGCATGCAAATGCTCTGGAACTCACTTGACTACACCTGAAAGCCCATTTTAGGCACAAAAATCTCCCCCAAAAAACGGACCAGAACACGTCAAAACACACTGCACTGCATATGCGGAATCTCATCCGGATCTGGTCCGGATTTGGTGTGAACAAGCCCTAAAGGATTTGATTAGGCATGATTAGAGGGCTTAATGGTATAAAGGAAATATTAAAACGGGGAAGAGATGTAAAGGCGGGATGGTTTGGAGGGTGTAAAGGTAGGCCAGCTTGAATGTTGGTTATTAGGGGGCATGAATTACATGGTAGGTTGGGGGAAGGGGGTTAAAGTGGGTAATGTGAAGCTGCATGGGCAAGAAAAGGAGATTAGAGAATTTAAAAGTGGGATCAGAGGGGTTGAGCATTTGAAAAAAAGAGTTTTGAAGGTAGTAAAGGCAAGATAGGTTAAGTTGGAGCTATGAGGGTGGGATATAAAGTGGCATATTATTAAGGCAGGGTACCTGGCAAAGAATGCAGGGCTACTGAAAAAGGAGATATATAGAGGACAGAGTATGAAAGCAGACGTGAGAGACCAAGCAGTGTATAGGTAGGGCTGAGAGATTGACGTAACGGTGGTTTACAGAGGCAATGGAGGACAGAATTGGGAGGCTAGAGGGAAGACAGGACAGACTGAAGGGGAAGTTACAAAGAAAGGCAACTGTAAATTACAACTAAAGGGCATGCAAGTAGTAGAAGAACAAAAGAAAAATGAGGATATATAAAGGAATAATAAAGTCAAAGCTAAAAACCAAGAATGTAAAGATTGTTGTCCAAGCTAACGTAAAAATAAGAAAGGAGGGCGATAGAATCGATTAAGAGTAAAAATATGAAGGCTACGAGAAACTGCAAAGCAGAAATAGATGAGGGGTAAAGTTCTGTTGTTATTATTAGAAGGAACAAGTTATTAGAAAAGAGGAAGAAGGGAATGAGACGAGCAGGGAGGAAATCGAGAAGGCTGCAGAAATGAACAGGAGTTGACATGGATGTATATCACTGGAAAAACCTGATTGGGCATAAGAGAAACAAGCAGTAAAGTGAATTAGTTGGCTTCGTGAAAACGAAGTGAGTAATTCAAGCTTGTAGGAGTTAAAGAGACAAGGGAGGTGCAGAAGGGGGGTTGGATAGTGACAGGAAGGAGGGAGAAAAAGGGTGGAACAGAAAACAGAATTTAGAGGATAGGGAGAGAGAAGCTGACAATGAGGATTGCCTAGTAAAGGGATAAAGTGGGAGAGAGGACTTGTTAGTCACGAAAAGCAAGGATAAGGAGAGAAGAGGTAAAGTATCTATTGCCAGTCTCTTCTTCGTACTTTAAATTCTTCATTAGCACTACTTAGAATGTTGTGGCAGGTTCCATGAGCATTCATTAACTTTGGTATGTTTTTAAAAATTAGTCATTTGCATTTTGGACACGTTGATAATATCTAATTGTAGTTCTTGTCAGACAGAAACTATTGGATAGTGATTAGTATTTACCAAAAGTATAATATGATTCACCGGAATTGAATATGATTTGTAACATACAGACTTCATGGGCGAGCAATGATCCCTCGGCAAATGTGACATGGGCGGGTGGCCTTGCCATTGAACCTCGGTAATAAAGGATGGAGCATACACTGCTGATGCCAGCACTCCTAAATCTGGATGCTCTACTGGACCTGGTCATCTGTGTTTGCCATGAATTGGCCACCTCTCCACTGGCCCATGAGACGTACATTGCGGATTTTCTGCACTGGGGTGAGTGTCTCTTTCATTAAACCAGCGACTCGGGTACCACATGTGGTTCTAGCACACCCACTACGACTCTTCAGCATATCCTATCTGTTCATTTTCTACAACATGCATTTCTACGAAGTACAAAGCTAAGCAGAGCTTGACTATAAGGAGCTAATACATTACATTATTAACACATTGCTTTTTTCAATTTCATGGTGGCTTTTAAGCTGACAAATGTTGGCGATCTCTGCAGCACACCAATATTTGTTATCTTGATAGAGTTGCATCATATTCCATAACAGCATATAACGAAGTTTAGAAACCACAATGCAAAGTAAAGAGACGTCTTTGTTTTGTGTGACTACTTAATAATGCTCTTTTTTCTGTGTGATCCTAAGACTGTGCCATGTGTGTACCATAGCCGTCATGTCTCAGCTGTTATGCCGAAATGGTCAATTTTTTGTGCACTTTTACATATACAGTATATAAAAAAAGTAATGAAGTGAAACACAAGGGGCAGCAACTAGACAGCCACAACCAATCAGAGACCGGCTTTCAGAGATTTAGTGCAGTAAGACTAAAGATAGCCACACACATTACAATTTTTGTAAGATTCAATTGTTTCTCCTGAATACGTTATAAGATGTTTCCTCCTGGTGTCTGAATGCCAAGCAGATACTTATTCTATAAAAAATTTGTTTCTTCGCCTAAATCAGATCTACGAAGTGGTCATAAGCAAATCTGCATGTTTTTACTTTTTTTTACCTATGAGCCCCAAACCATCAGGATACAAACGATTGTAGGGAAGCTTAAAATCCAATTGCATTGTAACCTTTGTAGCTGGCCTAACGCTGGTTGTTCAAAAGTATCTAACCAGTAATGACTCTTGATGAAAGATCTTCCCAGCTCTGTCCAATCTATGGTGACTTTTCTGATTTGGCTAATGTTTCACTGTGGCACACACACGATGAATGGATCATTTCAGTAAAGGGAACAGTCTTACAGGTGTGCAGTATTGTCCAGCATGCTGGAAAAGCAATTGCAGATCAAGTGCTCATTACCACTTAACAAGGGTACAATTATCCTACCTGATTATGGAAGTGGTGCTCACATGGTATTTCTTTCATGAACGGGCCTGATCAAAAGGTGGCTTTGATGGGTTGCTGTTTGTTACCACACACATCCAACTGCACTTGTTAAATATGTGCCTTGATCCTTGTTACATATGTGCCTTGTGATATAATTTAGTTATGGCTTTTTCTCTATTTGCACGTTCTGTAGTTAATATCTCGTGTCCTTTCCTGTTCTTTCTCTTGTTAATGTACACTGAAAATCTATATGCATATATATGTTTACACACACTAGTCCGACTGGCTGGGTTGGTTGATAAGGCAGGGAGTGCCTGTGTCTGCCGCAAAACGCCCTGTAATTAGAATGACAAGTCTGGCTGCTGCATGAAGTAACGCAGACTGAGGGGGCCTCATTCATCCCACAACAGGGTGATAATCAGATGTATTAGGACAAACATTACAGAATAACGTTGCAAGACCTGCCCTGCCGTGTATTCCATGACAAGAGCCGTAGGAAGCTGGGCACAGTTTTATTAATGATAGCACAGTTAGGAAGAACTTTGGAGTCTTCAACTTTAACTTGGTGCCAGTTGCCTCCTGGGAGTTCCTTCCAGTTAGATTACAGAGGCCAAAGAGTACATGGCTTTACCTCTACCTGCCAACTAATGCTAGTACTGTGAGTCTCTCCCTTGTTATAGGGCAACACAGCAAGATGAGAGCAACTATTCTTGGGATCATCTTGGTAGTGACATGCAATGAAGGTCTACAAGGCAGCTGGCCTTAGTACAGTGTTTCCTAAAGTGTGGGACACTGAATAGTTCAGGATTTCTAACAATGACCATGTGGGAAAAATGATCACCGTAGTGTTGGCTCTCAGTGGCATATACCACAGGGAGGATAGTATAACAGTTGGTGTGGATGTATGTGTTCCTGTGGATATTTTGGAGAAGACAGTGTCCCAACATGGTTCTAGAATTGAACCTGGGTCTGTGGTATTTTTTTAAATAGTGCAGGTAGCACCCATGGTAAAAAATCCCTAGAGCAAGGCAAATTGTTGGGCACCTTCATGCAATTACTGGCCAAATAATAAATACATTTATTTCCTGTGTATTGATCGACAGCTAGATAGAAGTGAGCCAGGGTCAGTTCCACATGACAGTGGGAAGGGGTCCCAGCACCCATCTACACACATGTAGTATAAAAGGTCCCTTATGCAGCTTCAGAGTCTGCAGAAATAATTTGTTCACCTCTGGGTAACATAAAGAGACTGCAAAGTTCATGAAACACTAGCCTAATGTATCAGATTCGCTAAAATATAGATTTTTCTTTCAAGCACGTGCTGGAAAAATGATGGCTGAAAGCTGATTAATTGGTATGGGGCAACTCATTGGTACTGATGCAATCAAACTAGAGATACAGCTAGTCTTGGTGTAAAAATGCTTGAAAATGTTCTTTTCTTGATGTATACAATCACATCAAACTGCACCTGTTACCCATAACAACCAATAATATTTTTTTGATTAGTTGCCACCGTGGGCAACAGCTCCATTTTCCTTTGACCCAATTTATTTTTCAAAATCAGCTCCAGACGCTTCTTATTTTGATGATAAGCCTGATAAGCAGGGTCAGGTTTTGTCCTGTGGGACTTCTCTGAGTTACACACATAATTTGTTGGTCCCTTACGAACTGGGTGACTGCCTTTCATTCCAAGATTATGATGGAACAGAGGTGACCATGCAGTCTGTATCTCCTAGGGAGTGGGAATGAGTTAATTCCCCAGACGGGGAGGTAACACTATTACATTAACCATATGTGGAGACTGTAAGAGCGCCTACTGACAGAGGCCATATAAGGAAGAGGTCTTACACTGTTCCCCCTGGACTGAGTGCTCATACCGCTGTCCCCACACCCAGTGTTCTTTCCTTGCTCCCCTTCACAACCCCTGTCATGCTGTATTCATTGACCTAGGCTCAAGTGTTTACCCCCTCCAAATTTAAAGGACCAGTAAATGTCAAATACACGTTGGCCAGTATGACATTCATACAAATATATGTAATCATTTTCTAACCTATTGCTATTAAAGGTACTTGAGGAAAAGCTGTGATTTCAGGTTGAAATGTATTATAACACCAGAGATCCTATTTAAAGTGACACTAAACTCAAGAGTTAAATCCTAAAAATTACATTCAAGTGCCCTACTTATAACAAAACTGCAGCTTATTTGTGTATCACTCAGCTGTAGATCCTCAAATCATCTCTGAATTGGTGCTGACACTGTCCTTCCTTCTGGAGGGTGGCTACTTTTGTTCCCCATGGTCCCTGTGTGTGTTGTAAAGTAGACACCACTCCAAGCTCACTTGCGTGATGGACTACGCTTGTTTAGTTAACTGATTTGTATTGAGATTGTAGTCCATCAAGAGAAGGAGCTTGGAGCGGTGGCTACTTTACAACACACAGGGACCATGGGGAACAAAAGTAGCCACCCTCCAGAAGGAAGGAAAGCGTCAGCATGAATTCAGAGATGATTTTGGGATCTAAAGCTGAGTGATACACAAATAAGCTACAATTTTGTTAATAGTTATGGTAATTGAATGCATTTGAAAGATTTAACTCCTGAGTGTATTGTCACTTTAAGGACATAGCAGTCAGTCCTTTTCCAGTTTGAGATTGCTGTAAAATAATAGGTTGAACTCTGGTATGCCAAAAATATTAACACAATGTGAATCATGCAATACTGTCATGGAAACATTTTGAGGGCTACTAAATATAAATTCCTAGCTAAATTAAGTCAAAGATTATATCAAAGTATCTGTGAATGAATATGTAAAAGTTTCAGAAGTACAGACAAAAGATTCTTAAAATGAAATGTGTTTACTGGGGAGCAATTTTTGCAGTCACACAATGAACTCCCTGTCTAGTGTTCTCACTAAAGGAAATTGACAGTTGTCATTATGGTTCCAACATTTGCCAAATGTAATGCAGGGCAATAGGTTATACAATGGAATGAGCTAAGTGTCAGATATCTCCATTTCTATATTGGTATGGCTACTTTTACATACATAGCTGCAAATATAAGCTATTTCGCATAATGTGACATTTTTTCTTTTAGGCTCATATACTTATTTGCATTTTGCTGAATGTTGTACCATTTGTGAAATTATTTAAATCTCTATTGACTTCCTAGAGTCATTAGATACACTCAGTCCTACCCTTAAATGTTAACTTCATACTGCTCTTACCCTAATTTGTCCTCTGCTTCTCCTTTTACCCCAACTAGTATCTACTACTACCCATCACCATAAACCTAGACACAAGGCAGCTTCTTGTCATTGACCCTTCACTGCCTCTTGTCATTGACCCTTCACTCCTGTCACCCTTCTCCCACCTACCCACCCTAGCTTTACCCACACCCTCACTTCTCTGTTTGTTGGTAATTCTAAACCAAATACCCCCTTCTCGTTATCATTTCCATGTTCAATCCTCATGGCTAATGTTATTGATAGAAATGACCATGCTGTGCTTATTTCAGCATGGTCACTGACTGTGTATACTTGTAAAATCTTACAAATGTAATAAACAAATGTTAACTCCATACTTCCTGACTTGGAAGTTTGAATGTTATTGGTGGCAGAGGAAAATGGAAGCATTCTCTCGGTGACCCTGTGAGGTGCCATCTGTATTATAGCTACAGAGGATTACACAGAACTCATGTTAAAACAGACGTGTCAGTAACTTTACATGTCTGCATGAATAAATCCCTGACATGTCACAATATACAGGAACAGTATAATTTTTCAGAAAAGCTACACCTTTTCTAAAAAAGAGGTTCTTGAGTTCCAGTCCAGTGACTGTCATCGGTCTGCTGCAGGTAGAAGGAAGAATTTCCTTAAGCTGGGTATGCACGTATATATTTTTTTCGTTCTACCTGCTGGCTGAGCAAAGAAGATATAA